TGGACTGCAAGGTAGGGTTGAGCTACAAGGTCAGCAGTTTTAGCTCACCAACCACTCCTTGGCAACTCTGAGGCATTATGAGTTGACACCAACTTGACGGCACATAACAACAACAATGACTAATGATCATGAGCATATCTTCATATGTTTGTTGGCCACCTGAATGTCTTCTTTGGTGAAGTGTGAGGGCTCTCCTTTTACTCTTTTGGTAAAATCTTTTGATGCACATAACTGTCTAATTTTTAGGAGGTCATAATCATCTATTTCGTCCTCTATTATTTGTGAGTTTTTAGTTATCTTTGACAGGTTAGTTAATTTGAAACATTGACCTTGTTAGCAATCCATTTCTTATCCTACAGTGCCACAACAGGATTCAAATCAAGAGATGTTGTTGTTGTTAAGTGAAATTTGCTTATTGGAGCTATTAAATACCACCTGCTTTAAGACAAGCACCCCAGCACTCTGTAAACAAACTCACTTGCATTATGTTGATTGATTAAGGTACCATTTTATGTATGCTATGTGAGTTCATTTGTTAGAGAATATTTTGGCTGCTTTCTCACTACCAAAAATAAAATTACTTCTAACATCTAGTTAAAGTACACATGAAGTCTCCTTCCACAGCAATGTAGCTGTAAATAATTCAAACTTTATTTGAGAAATGGAATGATATTTTACAGTTAATTATCTCTTGATTTATTCTAAATTGTCAAATCTAAAGAAAAAAATGTTAAACTTATGATTTGATAATTTGTAGCTTTTTTAAAAATGAATAATATTTGGGCTATTTGTTTTCTGACAACAGAAATATCCAAATTGAATATTAACTTGTAGTGTACAAGAATTATTCTGATTTTATAAGCACATATTACGGCCAATATGATTCCTAAAATTGCATATAAATGATTAAAAAATGAAGGTAGATACATAAAATGAGCTTACTGTTTCACCAATTTTTCCAGTGTTTCCTGGATCTCCTACTTCTCCCTGTTAATAAAGAATATAAATCTGAAAAATGTTTTTTTCAAATCACATACTCATAGTATTTCTTCCATTTTCATTTTTAATGTAATTATACAGTCATAAATTAGAAAAAGACTCAGGTAACTCAGTTATTTGATACTCTTTTATAATATTTTTATGAAATGTGTGATCTTTCCTTTATTTTCATCAAATAAGATTCACCTACTTATCTAACTTACTTTTTCTGCACTCAAAACTTTTAATCATTTTAGAAACACTGTTACAAATAAAATTTGTTAAAAATAATATATTTTTTGAGTTGTACTCTGTAAAAGGTAGAATGGTAAGCATTGCAAAAGATATTAAGTAGAAGGAAAATAAAATTCTTCTTCATAGGGTTGCTAAGTTTGCTTGAGGATATAATTAATATACCTCCTTAGGCCAAGCAGTACAGAATAACAACACAGGTGAGTATGGAAGGAATTCACAGGAGCATCCTGTATGGTAGGCTGCAGTAATTAGAGATGGCTACACTGAATGTATGTTCCTAAACCATTAACCATAGTTCTACAGTCTACACAGCTTTGAAAACAGTGTTTAAAATAATTTGGTGGCAAATTTAGCCTAATCTGACTTTATCTCTTGGTATACTGTCCTGGGTGTAGCACTGTATGATTAGCACTGAACTGGAAACCACAAGGTCGGCAGTTCAAACCCACCAGCTGCCCCTTGGAAACCTTGTACAGGGTCTCTATGAGTTGGAACTGACTCAATGGCATTGAACAACATCAACAAATAATGTCTTACCTGATCTGATTATCATGACTTTTTTTTTTTTTTTAATTTGAACATTAATGCATTTCACTGCAGAAATAGTCATGTGTCATTATGGGGTGCTATCCCATACCTTGCTGGCAGTATTAAGTAACATACAGTATATATGCACTATATTGACTTCCAAAAATTCAAATTTAATTATTTCAAATAATGGATTATGGAACTTTGTTTGAATTAGGATCTGAAGAATAAATTATATTCTTTATGTTGTATATAGAAAACTTTTGGTAGTGTTAGCTAAGATCAAGTATTATGTAATCTTCATTGGTGTTACCAAAAAAAAAAAAAAATCATCAGAAACTAGGATATGAAGCCAAAAAAAAGTGGGTAACTTGTACTTTCAATGTCAAAAATGGGTGAATGCCACCCAATGATTAACTAGGCAATGCACTTAGATTCGCTGTTAACTACTAATTAAAGGACCCAGACTTAGTGAATTTGTATTAACTTGTAGAGTAAAATCCCTGAGATCATGCTTTATGTTCTCAATTAGTAACCTATAGAGCCCTGCCTGGTGGCATAGTGGGTTATGGTTAGGCTGCTAACCACAGGATCAGCAGTTAGAATCCAACAGCTACTTCTCCATAAAGAGGCTTTCTGCTCCTGCAGATTTCCAGCCTTGGAAAATCTATATAGAGTTGCTACAAGTTGGAATTGACTTGATGGCAGTGAGTTTGTGTTTTTTAAATTTTTTTAATCTAGCCTATAAAAATTATTGTAACATTTATTTATTTATCCATATGCTTACAAGTTTGTCACACTATAGTGGCTTGTGTTGCTGTGATCCTGAAAGCTATCCTGCCAGTATTTTAAATACCAGCAGTGCCACCTATGGTTTCAGCTGAGCTTCCAGACTATGACAGACTAGGAGGAAGGAAAGGCAGACAACTTCTAAACTGTAAGCTACTGAAAAATATTATGAATAGCAGTGAGACATTGTATGATATAGAGATGAGTCCCTTAGGTTGGAAGGCACTCAAATTCAACTGGGGAAGAGCTGTCTTCTCAAAGTAGAGTTGACCTTAATGATGTGGGTGGAGCAAAGCTTTCAGAATCTTAATTTATTGATGGGCCCAGTTCAAAATGAGAAGAAAGTCAGTGAAAAAGATGAAGACCCCTAACGAGACGGAGTGGCAACAACAATGGGCTCAAACATAACAACAATTGTGAGGAAGGTGCAGGGCTGGGCAGCATTTCCTTCTGTTTTGCATAAGGTTGCTATGAGTTGAAACTAAATGGTATCTAGCAACAACAACAACATGGATATAAATATTGTTACTGTTGTTGTTAATTGCCATCGAGGTGGTTCTAACCCATAGTGACCCTGTATAGGGTTTCCGAGGGGTGACTGATGAGCTTGAACCACCGACCTTGCGGTTCAAACCTACAGTGCAGTCCAGCTCATTAACCCACAGCGCCACACTAGAATATAGGTATGTTGTTGTTGTTGTTATGTGCCATCAAGTCGGTTCCGACCCATAGCGACCCTGTATAGGGTTTCCGAGGGGTGACTGATGAGCTTGAACCACCGACCTTGCGGTTCAAACCTACAGTGCAGTCCAGCTCATTAACCCACAGCGCCACACTAGAAAATAGGTATAGGACTTCTCAAATGTTTTTTGAACCAGTTTTAGCATTATTTTGTTGTTGTTAAGTGCCATTGAGTCAGCTGCAACTCATAGCAACCCTGTTTAGTTTCCGAGGAGTGGCTGGTGGGTTTGAACAGCAGATCTTGCGGTTCAAGCTGACCTTGGAGTCTGGTACATTATCCTGCAGCTCCATTCCAGGACTCCTAATTTTACTGGCTCCCTGATTAAATAACAAATTGAATAAAAATTTTGTTGTGTTCATTTCACATTTGTACGAAAACCATTATTTTACCTTTTTGAAAATTATATGTTTATACTGATAATAAAATCAGTTGCTTTACCTTTAAACCTTCTGGTCCTTGTTCACCTGCATAACCCTTTTGACCTGGTTTTCCCTAGAAGACAAAAGTAGATAAAAGAGAGATGCAAAGTCATTTCAATTTTGCAAGTTTCCTCAGGTTTATAAAATTTACATTATTCTTATAACATGAAATATTTTAACATTATTTGACACACATTATATTCTACTTAGTAGACATCCATTTTACAAATATTTACTGATTGTCTGCTATGTACTAAGCATAGCTCTAGGGCTAGGGATCAAGGAACGCACTAAAAATACCTGCCAACATACTATGAAGATGACATATAATTTTAAAAAATTAAACATATAGTATGTTGGACAGTGATAAATTTGAAGGACTATAGGATTGCCACCTTCATTGAGAAGGTAGTGTTTAAAGGGACAAGTAATATGGCTATCTGCATGAAGAACATTCTACTCAAAGAAAAGCAGTATATGCAAATACCCTGAGGCAGGGATGTGCCTGGTGTTTTCAAGGAACTATAATAAGTCAATGTGGCTGGAACAGAGTAAGAAAGATAATCATAAAGATGAAGTCCGAGAAGGGAATCACATTAATAGGGCCTTGTAGATTAGAGTAAGGGGTTTAGCTTGTACTCTGAGTGAAAGTTACTTTGAGAAGTAATTGATCTATGTTTTCACAGAATCCCTTTGATGCAAGAGCAGAAGCTTTGTGTCTACCACAATAATTCAATGAGAGATGACAATGGCAGTATGGACAGAATGATAGTAGAGAAGGTTGTGAGAAATAGTAGTATTCTGGATAATGCTTGAAGGAAGAGCTTTCAGGAATGTCCACAGGTCACATGTAGAATGTGAGAAAAAGATGAGAGCCAAAAATGGACTCAAGAGTTTTCTATTTCAGTAACTGACCCTTGATAAACGTGTTAGATCTCTGAATAGTGAAAGCTTGTGATAGTTATACAAGTCCAGAGATTGGTGGGAACTTTATGAAGTGAAGAGATAATTTTGGAAATAATTAGCATTTTGATAGCCCATTATACCATCAGGGTTCTCTAAATACTAAGTGTTGGCTTGCTAACTTCCAGGTTGATTGTTCAAGCCCATCAGCAGCTTCAGGGAAGAAAGAAGAGACAGTCTGCTCCTACAAACACTTACAGTCCCAGAAACCCAAAGGAGCAGTTCTACCCTGTCCTAAAGGGTCACTATGAGTAAGAACTGACTTGATGGCTGTGAGGTTTTTTCCACTTGGTGGCACAGTGGTCAAAGCACTCAGCTGCCAATCCAAAGTCCAGTAACTCAAATGTATCATCTGCTTTGGATAGAAAGATGTGGCAGACTATCTCTGTAAAGAGTATAACCTTGGAAACTCCATGGGGAAGTTTGATTCTGTCCTTTAGGGTCACTATGAGTTGGAAACCACTCCATGGCAGTGGGGTGTTTGGTTGGTTGATTGTACTAAAAATCAGAAGTTTGGATGAGCTAATCTAGACAGCAAGTATAGATAGAAAAGAGGTTCAAGGTCAAGTCTTGAGTCACTCAAAACTTTAGAATTCAGAAAAATATGCAAAATTTCTACCAGAAAGTCAAAAGGAAAAACTATGGAAGTCAAAATTTGAAGATTATGACTAATGGGTAATATGAAGTTTGTGAAGATTGAGAAATGATCACAGGATTCAGCAAGATGGAGGTCACTGATGATCTTTAGGAGATCATGTGGATTGGTGGGGACAAAGTGGTTTTAGCTGATAGAAGGAGGAAACTTGGAAAGAACATGTACAGACAATACTTCCAAGGAGTTTTACTTAAATGCAAAGAAGAGAAATAGGGTAATACGTAATAGGAGAAACTCAGTTCAAAATAAATTTTATTTTTATGCTAAAGGAAGAAATAACCTATTTCTATGCTGATCAAAAAAATTATGACACAAGGTAGACAGGAGAGAATTTCTGAGTCAATGTTCTAAGTAGATAAGAAGATAAGAAATCTAGTGTACAAGTAGGAGGTTTGAACTTACCTACAATAATGGTATACTAATTTAAAATTATAGGAGAAAAGGCATAACAAATGGCATAGACAGAAGGAAATGGGTATATGTGAAAGTTGGTATTTATAGAAGTTCTCTTCTAATTAATATTTTCAGAGAAATAGGAAGTGAGGTACAGGGATAAGCATGCAGATAAGAAAGAAATTGATAGAGTCTGAACAGAAAGAAGGTATGAGTAATAATTTAGAGAAGGTAAAGAGTGAACAGTTTTGGAAATGAAGTCCAGGATATAGCCAAAGCGGTGATTTTAATGTTTTAAGCAGGATGAGGAGAAATGTTGAGTTGTGAAGGATATGAGGAAGAGTGGAAAGGCAGTTGACCTGAAATTCCTGATGAGGTTGTTGGAATGGGTTATAACACATCATAAAGAGAGTAGATGGTAGTGGAGAGTGAAAAGTTGGAAATTGATACTAAGGAGAAGATGCTTATACTTGTAATTATAAGGTCAAGAGAGGACGTTATTGGCTGAACAGAGTAAAGTATAAGATGACTGGAGAAGATAAATTAAGATAAAAATTATATGTCATCTTCTATTAAACTATTGAAAAGATTAATCTATGTACTTTTTAACAACTGATATCTTATTATACAAGATTTGACTAAGGTGATTATGCATCAACCAATGTATGTGAGAAACTCTAATCTATGAGTTAAAAAACAACAGAGGAGGTTGCTGTTAAGTGCCATTGAGTCGGTTCCAACCCATAGCGACTACAGACTACTAAAAAGAGCACTAATTTATAATTGTTGTTGTTGTTAAGTGCCATTGAGTCGGTTCCGACCCATAGCGTACAGGGTTTCCGAGGGTGTAAATCTTTACGGGAGTACAAAGCCTCATCTTTCTCCCACGGAGCGGCTGGTAGTTTTGAACCGCTGACCTTAAGGTTCGCAGCCCAATTCGTAACCACTACGCTACCAGAGCTCCTTTATAATATCTAATATCTATTCGAGCTCTGCCACGCTTGCCATCAGGAAGCACCACGTCCTCGGAGACTTGGTGGCAGCTTTGCTATGGTCCGGCAGGTTGGGGCCCAGAGACTAGGCGGCCAGCAGGGTGCAGGCTCCCAGAGGCCGCTGCCGCCATCAGGTTACGGAGGAGTGAGGGTTCGCCCTTGTCTGAAGGCCAAACCTAGATAGATAGGAACCTGTGGCGAGGGCTTTGGGTCTCCGCAGGGCAAGGGCTGAGGCCGGCACCCTTGGAGGGCCCGGAGGCCAGTAAGGGGCCAGAAGACTATGGTCACCACTCCTCTGTCTGTCATACTATGGTGGCTTGTAAGTTGCTGTGATTCTGAGGGCTATGCCACCAGTATTTTAAATAACCAGCGGGGTCACCCAGGGTGGACAGGTTTCAGATGAGCTTCCAGACAAAGATTGACTAGGAAGAAAGAATGACAAACTACTTCCGAATCGCTAGTCACTGAAACCTTATGAATAGCAGAGAAACACTGTCAGATACAGTGCCAGAAAATGAGCCCCTCATGTTGGAAGGCACTCAAATTGTGACTGGTGAAGAGATGCCTCCTCAAAGTATAGTTGACCATGATGACATGAATGGAATTAAGGTCATGGGAGAAAAGCCCACAAAACCTTCATTTGCTGATGAGGCACAATTCAAAATGAAGAGAAACAGCTATAAACATCCATTGAAAATCGGAACATGGAATGCACGAAGTATGAATCTGGGAAAATTGGAAGTTGTCAAAAATGAAATAGAATGCATAAACATCGATATCT